CTAGGTGTAATGGGGAGGGGAGGGAAGAAGGCAGATGAATGAATGCTGATTGACAATGGATGAATGAAAAGCACTTATTAAATGCTTACAATTTATCAGAAACTGTAGCAAGTGCTGGAAATACAAATACAGAAAGCATGTCAATCCCTTGAAGGGAAATTAATGACATTTGATATAGCAGAAAGGGCATTGAATATGGATTTGGAAGACCTGGGTTCGGATTCTGGCTCTGCTTCTTACTAGTGTGTGTATGTGTGTACACATGGGGATTCCTTCTACCTCTAAAATGCTGTGATTCTTGGGCAAATCACTTTCCTCATCTGTAAAATTCAAGCCAGCTCTAAACCTTATGGTCCCATGACTTGTGGGGTTTGGAAGGTGCTCTATGTAATGGTAATGGGGGTGGGATCAGGGAGGAGGCAGAGGTTTGGTCAGAAGATTCTAAAGATCATAAGCTTATCTAAAAACCCCTAAGCACATGCTAGAATTCTCTCCAAGGGAACCCAAACTTGGTTGGTTATAAAGGGTTAATACATCTAGCGTGGGCTTTCATTCCGTTACTTAGGCTAGCTAACCTCGAATCGGTTTCTCAGGGAAGCTGCTTCTTCTGTCTAAAGTTCTGTCCTGGGACCCTCAAAGACTTGTGGAACCACGGTCAGCCTGCGGAAAACCTGAAGCTGGGACTTTGTCATTGCCACGGTCTCCTACTTAGCTAAGGCCTACTCTATCTGGATTTAGCCTCTGAATCTCTCTCTCCTGTTCCTAAACTCCAGCCTCCATGGAAACCTGTCTTTATGAAAAACCTCCAATAAATGAATTCAAGTGGAGAGGGTAATGGCTGATATGAAGTTGGTCCACTGTGTTTCCCAGGAGTCTTTACATTTTAAAGGGGATAAAGCTTTCACTCAAGAGCAATGAGATCAAAGCATGTAAAGATGACAGGAGATATGCATCATAGCAGGCTGGTGAGGGAGACATTTGGGATGCCTGGAGCTTTCACTGCACTTCTCAAATCCCACTATATAGGCAACTAGCTAAGAAATTTACAAGCTACCTGCAGGACACTGCTGGGTTCCCTTCTGGGATCAGAATATGGGGCCAGGGCAGTCAGCTATCCGGAGAATTGCTACCCCTCTTCTGGTTAGAACTTTCCCAAAGGCTATTTCTTAGCTTTATCACTTTAAGGTTTTTAAAAAAAAAAATGTGATTTTTAAAAAATCTCTCGAAAAATCTATGTAGCCTCACAACTTCATTTGGAGAGTGGAGAAGCAGAGGGAGGCTGGGCTAGGAGAACACACAGAGAAGAAACCTTCTGTATTTCCCCCTGAAAACCATCCTCCATACAACTGATAGATAGATGTTTCTATGTTGGCCCTGCCAGAAGATGTAATCCAGCATCTTATCAGGCATAGTTCATAGTCTCAACTATGAGACTATCAGAAAGAAGGCTTTGAGTGCCTTTAAGTTTTCCACGGACTAACCCTAAATTGAGGGATAGAGATGCACAACCATGCAAGGGGCCTTACATACAGCTCTCTCTCTCACTCTCTCTCTCTCTCTCTGTCTATCTATCTATTTATCTCTGTCTCTCTTAAAAATTCTTTCCCCAAACTAGAAGTTACTGGGGTGAGGTTTCTCACATAGAAACAGCCTGAAGAATTTAAATACACTTGAACACTTTAGTAGGTCCTTTGAGACTCATAATCTAGATCATTTTAAGGACCAAGGATTGAAGACACAGAGACTGTCAACATGGCTAGGCTAGAAATATGTCCTATAAGTCTGTATATCTTATATCATTTTAATATTACGTTTAATTTTTCAAGTCAAGTCAACAAGCATTTATTAAGCACCAACTGTATGCCAGGCACTGTGCCAGGCGCGGGGGATGCAAAGGAAGGCAAAAACAGTCCTTGCCTACTTTTAAACATATTTTGCCTTGTGCCTCTCTCTTCCTGGAAAGTTCCATTCTGTATGCTCCAACTAGATCCTCAAATCAGCGTAATTGCAATCAAATGAAACCAACAAGGCAGAAACTCGCTCAAAGCTCACAGCTTCATGAGGATATGGAGGGGAAGACCAAGAGAAGATGCAAGGAAGATGTGCTCTGCACCTCCTCTCCAAGCCATCCTCCACACAACTGACAAAAGGATATTCACAAAGCACAGATCTGATCATGCCATGCCCCTGCTCGGGAAGATTTAGGGGCTCTCTATTCCCTCTAGGATAAAATACAAGCTTTTCTCTTTAACACCCTTCACAAGCTGGGCCCAATCTATGTTTCCAGATTGATTTCATGTTATTTTCTGATCCCCTTGGGTTTGTGTTCCCTGCCATTGCCCCACAATTACTTTGTATTTAGTTAACTGTATTATTTCCTCTTAATAAAATGGAAGCTCTTGAGAGAGCAGAGACTCTTTTCATTTTTGACTTTGTATGAATGGATGAAGGAATGTGTGTATGAATGAATGGATGGATGGATGGATGGATGGATGGATGGATGGATGGATGACAAAACATCTATTAAGTGATTGCTATTTGCTAGACAACATGCTAAGTACTGGGGATACAAATACAAAAAAGTGAGAAAGTCCCTGCACTCAAAAGGCTTATGTTCTAATGGGGAGAGACAGGGCGTAAAAGGAATAATGTTCAAAAAAGGGAGTTTGGCTCTGAGGAATCATGGGGATTACTGATGCACAGGGCAGACAAGTGACATGCCCTTTTCAGAAGCAATGGATATTTGTATTTCCAGCACCTGGCACATAGTAAATAATTAATAAACGTTGGTAGAATTAAATCGTGTCAAGGTTTAAAGGCTGAGCAAGATAGCTCCGAAAGTCAGTTGGAATTCAGTGTCTTGTTTGCCATCTTCCCAGCTGGAACCCCTGTCTCCCCTGGATGCCAACTGAAGTCACAGCCAGGGAAAGGATTGGTGACTCTGCTTTCTACCGTCTCTCTGCTTGGGGCAATGTTGGCTCCATCTAGCAAAGGAGCCATTCCCTAGGCTACGGACATGGTACTGATGCCAGGCTGGAGTTTCTCTGGCTATGTCTTTTCCACTTCAGACCAGGGCTGGGGAGATCATTCCTCTGGAATAGGCTGCCCTATTGCTGCCCCCAAGTCCAAATTTGACATAGATGTTATGTCAAAGCATCTAGCTCCTCTCCTCCCTCACAACATCCTGCTCTTGGGGGCTCTGCTTAGACACCAAGCTAAAATAACAGCTTCACATTCTGAAAGATTCCAACTGCCCAGGTCAATCCTTAGCAAAGACTTCCTGGGAGATCGAAGACCAGGCCTATACAAACTTGTGAAGCAGCAAATCATATCACTCTATTCTGCATCTTTTCTCCCTCTGCCCCCCCACGTAACCTTCTTTCATGCTCCTTCCAATATCATTATCACAGCTCTTCTTATGAAAAACACAACCTCGGATTCTTTATTCACCTGAGGTGCAAACAACTGATAGCATTTTAAAGTATGACCACCTTGTACAGGGATTTGTGTTTTAACAGGGATCAAAGCCTTAAGATAAAGGAATGAAGATCCAATTGGGGGGTGGCAGAATGGAGGGCTTTCCTAGTATTCTTGAAATCAATCACTCAGCTTGCCTATGACTCTACTGAAATGATACTGGCAAAGGCCTTTGGTGACAAATATCTCTGGCTAAGGCTCTGGTGTTTCTGGTAGATCTACAAAACATCCTCAGTCAACACTTCAGAAACTTTCACTTTTCCCTCTGGACAAATGAAAGTTTTCCTGATTCCTTCTGCTTTTGGGGGAGCATCATCTGCCACACAGCAAACTGCCTCTCCTTCCTGACTTTCCCCACATTGTACTCTGTCCCCCTTGTCTTGGCCAGACTCTGTTGCCTGGGCCTTCAACTCTATAACAGCCATTGATTCTCTTCCTGGGGCTCTGTCTAAACAATTCACAGCCTTGCTGAATCAGCAGAAGGCTGTTTCCCCGCGGCCCCACCCCTAGCTGGGCCAGGATGTAGGCCCAATTCACAGCCTGTTTTAAAATCTTTTCTTTTCATACTTTCTTTCTGAAACAGCATCTCATTTCAAGCTCCGGCAGACTCATAATCACCCAATTTACCCTGGAATATTGCTCAATGCTCCTTCTACTTACTCTCTCTGGATGATCTACTTGGGTCTTCTGCTCAGCCTCCCTTTCCCTTCCTTGACTTTGTTAGCTATTATTTTATCTAGATTAAAAATCTCCTTCCGCTAGCTCCTGCCCCCTTCAGCATTTCTCCTTTCTTCTGACCCATAGTTGGCAAGTTTTCTCGGAAATGTCTTCCTTAAAGCCTGCTCCAAATATACCAAGCACCACAGTCCCAGACGATAGAGTCTGAGATGGGAAACCCATGGAGGGCAGGCAAAGGATGTGGAAAGGTCTTCATCTAAACCCTCCCAGATTGAGTCACCCTACCAACCCAGGGTAAAATTGTTTAGGGTAGAAGGAGGGGCTAGGTAGAATCTCATTGAGATAGTGATGGCTTCTAATCAAACAAAGAGCACCCCCAATCTGGGCTGCACTGGTTCAAGTTTTATTTTTTATTAAGCCAGACCTGGCATAGGGAACTCTCAATGGGTTAACTCCCTCTTCTAATGCAGAACAACATCTTCTCTGCAACATAGAGTCTTAGAGGGTTGTCTGGGACATTGAGAGATTGTCACTTGCCAAAGGTTACCTAGCCAGTAATTATCAGAGGTGGATTTGAACCCAGGTCCTTCTGATTTCAAGTCCACCACTCCATGCACTACATTTCGCTGCTTCTCATCTTTCATCTGATATGGTTGAGGAACTAGGTGCCCCGGGCACCCCAATCTTTTGATTAGATAAGCATTACCATATATAGAGTACTAGAAAAGTATTTTATACACTATAACACTATGTAAATGTGATATTATTATAATTGGCCAAGATCTGGAATGCCGGTATAACGTTTCATGCTCAAACTACACTGAACATAATCCCATGTTTTCCAGGGTCTTGCCATTCCTCAAGGGCACGGAGATGGATATCCAGCACGCCAACAGAAGCATATGTTAAGAGAGAATTCTGGCTGGTGGAATGCCAGCCAGCAGGAAGTTGGCAATAATAGGGCCATGACGTTTGGCGCCCGGAGCCACATCTTGAGCAGGACTGTGGGCACCAAAGTCCCAGATGAAGGACAGCTCCTTCATCACAGACCCTTATCTTACACCCAGCAAGTCAGCCAGCCACCCTTCACCCTACTCACTCAGCCATAAATTTCCAGCCTGAAATGAATGCAATATTTGGCTTAAAAATCAATAAAATCAGTCTTTTTTCCCCCTCCTTTTTTTTGAGGGAAGCCTGAAACTAAAGCAAAAAGACTTAGGCTTTCTAATGGCTGGATAAGGAAACACTAACCTGGGACAGCCTCTCTGTCCAATCCCAATCCTGCTCCCCCATCCATCTGCAAGGCAGTGATAGTCCTTGGTCTTCAGACACTTCTCCCCTCATGTTTTCTTTCTCTTTCTTTATGGGTTTCCAAACTCTGACAACTCAAGAACCCTTTGTGGCTCATGGAAGCTTCTGGCCTCTAGAGTACCTGGGGCAGAGGTCTATGCAGAGAATTTCAGAATTCCTGGGGGTGATGCTTGAGCATAAGAGACAGACAGAGAGTTCACTAAGAAAGAAAGGAATCTCTGAAACAGGAAAGGGAGGCTTGCAGCCTTCCGTGAGCAGATGGGCCTCACCTCCATTTACCTCCACTAATCCTAACCAGCCCCAGGTGATCAGGGAGGGGCTGCCTCCGTTCTTGAGGTTCTACTGCAGCAAGGGAACCTGGTTTTCCCCGGATGAGCTCCGTTCCCACAGCTGCCCTGCCCTGGGCAGCACTGCCAATACCCTGCAGGACGTGGGGGTGTTAGCCAGCAGAGGCGCTCTGCCTGCCTGGGGTGGTGTCTAGGTATGAGCCAGCCAAGGCCGTACTTACAATGCGAGGTTTGAAAGGGGGCTTGATCTTCTTTTGCTCCAGCAGCACCCAGTCAATCTCCTTGAAAAAGGGATGCTGTCGGATGGCTTCCTCGCCGCTCTGCGTGGCCACACAGCCCAATCGCTTATTGGGGTTTTTCGTCATGAACTGGAAGAGGCAGAGATGAGGAAATGACATTGGTGAGAAAGATTCAGCAGGGTCCGACTTTGTAGGGAAACTGGAACAATGGCTGAATTGTCGTCTGCTGTCCCCTCACCTCTCTGCCCTGTTCTACTCTGTCGCCTTTAAACCCACTCCTCCTCTCTGAATAAGACAATGTCACATAGTGGAAAGAACGCTAGATTTGGGGTCTTGTAGGTTTAAATTTCACCCTAGACACTTACTGGCTCTGTGACCACGGGCAAGTCACGTTAACCTCTGTCAGCCTCAGTTTCTTTATCTGTGAAATGGGGATATTACTATACTTACCTCCCAAGATCAAATTTTTAAAAAAGTTTGTTAAAGCATTTTGCAGATCCCAGGGTGTCATATAAACGTCAGCTATCCAAGTCTTGGAACAAGATTCCACAAAATCCTGCTCAGATGCCTCACTGTGACCTGAGGAGTTGAAGGCCACACCAGCACAGTGAAAGGTCTGGCAGCTTCTGCCGTGCTGGAAAGGCTTTGAATATAACCCCAGGAATAGGCTGAATCTGTTTTCCAAGGACTAACCTAGCTAACTACAGAGAGGCTTATCTTCCTCAGGCCGGCAACCTGCTGATGAACATTTTGACCACTGCGACACATGAAACAAAGAACTCATGTGGCGTTCAGTCCTGTGTGGCCCCTTCTGCAGTGATGGTGGCAGTGGCAGGAGATCAGGCAGAAGGTGCTGAAAATCACACAGTTTAAAACTGTCAAGAAATTTCAATTTAACTACTGGAACTCTGAATGTGAGATCTTTACCCAGTGACCAGTATGTGGATATGTTGCTGGAAGAGCTGAACTATATTACTCTTGACATTCTTGCTATAAACAACACTAGAAGAAACAAGGAGGTTGCAGCTATTAATTTGTAAGCCCCTTGAGGGCAGAAATACTCTGCTCTCTCTCTCTCTCTCTTTCTCTCTCTAATGCCTGGAACATACTAGGCACCTAAATGTTTATTGACTGACTAAATGCAAGGATGGCTAACAGGTCACTTCTTGGGGATGCAAAGAAAGGGGTTGTTAGAATGGATTTTTATTGTATGCATAAATGCAATAAAAGTATATTTCATGGAATATTTGATCATCACAAGTATTACAGTATTGATAAATATTTGCAAATGACTATTCTAAAAATAATTGTAGCTTAGATCAACACTGGTTGTTGAGAATGTAGATTATTGGCACACAGTAGGCACTTGATAAATGTTTACTGACTGACAAAACAGAAGAATGCTTACAGTTAATTCTCCAAGAATGCAAAGAAAGGGGATGCCAGAGTAGGGTTTTATTGCATGCATGAATGCAACAAAAATACATACATTATTTCATAGAATATTTGGACATTCACACATTACAGTATTAATGATAAGTATTTGCAAATGATTACCGCAAAAATAATTGCAGTTTATGCATCCACATCAGTTGCTGAAGAGAAGAAGAGAAATTCAATGGAGAACCTGATGGAGAACCTAACCAAATTAAATCAACATACATTGTGATAATTGATGACATAAATGCACAGGCAGGAATGGGCAAGATGGGTGAGAAATAAATGGGAAAGCATGGTTCAGAAGAAAGAATGGGAGAGGCTAAAGATTTGTAGGTTGCATAGAATCCTCTAGATACCACAAACACTTTCATTGAAAATGGAATTGGTAGATCCTGGACACAGAAAGCACCAAATAATAGAATAAAGAATGAAATGGATTCTATTTTAATGGGCAGGAGAAGGTTTATTGTTGGTGTGGTATTATCCTTAATCCAACAATTGTACAGCTGGACCATCAACTCCTCGGAGCTAAGAACAGAATCAGCAAAGAACAAGAAGAAAGAGTCATGACAAGAAGATTTGGCATAAAATAAAAACCACTTAACCCTGAACTATTTAAATAAATACTTGAAGATGGGACAAAAAAAAAAAAACAAAAATAGGAAATGCATAGCAGAAATGAAAATGATTCCTGCTTATAATACTTTCAATTAGAAGTCAAACCAATGTAAATTAATTGCCACAGCAAGGAGATCCAAAGAGCCCAGAAAGCACCTTAATCAGCAAACATCTGTCTTATTTGCCAAACATAAAGAGATGGATGCCAAAAGCAACATGAAGTTAGGATATAGACTCATTAGTAAAATCTTACATTGCAGAATGATGGATGGATATGAGCTGTACTGTCTCCTAGAGCAGAAAGAAACAGTGGAAGGAAAAGCTAGTTCATAGAAATCATGTTAAGAGATCCTACTAAGCAAAGTTACCCCAAGAGCATTCTAGACTGAAAGTGGAAGCTGAACTAGAGACAGCAGAAAAGCAAAAACAGTTTGCAAAAATAATTTTTACAAATCATTCCTTCAATCAAGAACAATGGAATTGGTGCACTTTGAGCCTAACAGCAAGGTTCCAATGTGCTGATAGAGGAAGCATTAAAGAGAAGGAACAATGATATGTGGGGCAGATTACGCAAAATATACAAGGTGTTCTAAATGCTTTAGTATGGTTTTGAGTTTTTATTTTTTATTTTTTATTTTTTATTGTTAGGCAATTGGGGTTAAATGACTCGCCCAGGGTCACACAGAGTTTTGAGTTTTTAAAATGGGGCAGGGAGAGTGCCGAGTCTGGAGTCAGGAATACTTGCCTTCCTAAGCTGAAATCTGGCCTCAGACACTTACTAGCTGTGTGACCCTGGGCAATACGTTTACTCCTGTTTGCCTCAGTTTCCTCATCTGTAAAATGAGCTGGAGAAGGAAATGGCAAATTATTCCAGTGTCTCTGCCACAAAAACCCCAAAATGGGGTCATGACATGACTGAAAACAACTGAAATGACTGATATGTATCCTTAGGCCCAAGCACAGTACCTGATGCCAAGTGCTAATCAGTTATTATTGATTGATTGATTGGGTAAAACTAAGTGCCCGGGATGGATGGGAAGGAGTTTAGATGAAGGGATAAATGGTGCAGATAGGGAGCTAAGTGTTAGGCTGAGAAGCTAAGTGATAGTTAAAAACAGCTCACATTTGTATAATGCTTTAGAGTTTACAGAGTTTTTTCTTCCAAAAAGCCCAAGAGATTGCTAGTTCAAGGATTCTTTAATCTTATTTTTTATGGATGAGGAGAGATTAAGTATTTAACCCATAGTCACACAGCTAGTAAGTAACTAAGCCAGAACTTGAACCCAGTTCTTTTGAGTTTAAATATAGAGGATTTAAACCTAATTACTATACCATACTGTTGAGTCATTTTCAGTCATGTCTGACTCTTTATGACCCCATTTGGGGTATTCTTGGCAAAGATACTGAAGTGGTTTGCCACTTCCTTCTCTGGCTTATTTTACAGATGAGGAAACTGAGGCAAACAGGGTTAAGTGACTTGCCCAGGGTCATATAGCTAGTAAGTGTCTGAGGCCAGATTTGAACTCAAGAAGATGAGTCTTCCTGATTCCAGGCCTAGCACTGTATCCACTGTGCCACCTAGCAGCCCTAATTACTATACTTAATTATTACATTACTAAAGAGCAGAAGGCTAAGGTCCCAGGATGGGGGTTAAATTCTGAAAGAGGTTTAACGCTCGGAGATTAAATCTTCGTGCTAGAGTGAAGGCCAAATGGCCAAAATGGAGGAGACAGTTAAGAACTCAGAATGATGAATAGGACTCAGAGGACGAGGGCATGCATCCAACCTGAAGTCTTTGAGACTGAACATGTCCTCCAGGAATTACAGTGTGAGGGCTATTCCTACAGCCTGCTGGTGGATCTCCCAGCCTCCAGTCTCTGCCCATTCTAGTTCACCCTCCAATCTGCTATTTGAGAGATCTTCCTAAAGTCCGAGTCTGACCATATCACCACCCCATTCAATAAACTGCCGTGGCTCCCTATTACCTCCAGGACCAAATAGAAAATCCTTTGTTTGCCTTGTAAAGCCCTTCATGGCCTAGCCCTTTCTTACTTTTCAGTCTTATATCTTACTCCCCCCGCTCCTTCCCCACCCCAAGTACACTTCAATCCAGGGACATTGGCCTCTTTGCTGTTTCTCACAAGATACTCAATCTCCTGACTCCAGACATTTTCCCTGGCTTTCTCCCCCAAGACTGGAATGCTCTTTCTCCTCATCTACCCCTCAGATTTCAGCTAGAATCTCACCTTCTGCAAGAAGCCTTTCTTGCTCTCCTTTAATGCTAATTACCCTCCTCCAGAGATTATCTCCAATTTATCACGTACATATCTTATTGGCATACTGCTGGTCACATATTGTCTCCCTCATTGGACTGTGGCTTCCTTGAGAGGAGAGACTATTTTTTGCCTCTCTTTATAACCCCAGTGCTTAGCACAGTGCCTGGCATATAGTAGGTTCTTAACATTTTTAAAATTTATTTTATTTTTAATTAATGGAATAAAACAAGCATTTCCATAACATAGTACAATAAAAAAGAGATAATTGCACGTGATTGACTTGACTTGGTTTGACTAAATGGCTACTCTCCTGCAAATATCCATCCAAGGAACAGGAAGATGCCTCCGTACCTGCTCTTTTCCTCCTCCATGCTGTTCATTTAGAAGGGAGGAGAGGCCGAAGGGCAAATGACACAATCTTCTAATACAGAAGGTACAGACAGATTTGATTTCATCCTCAAGGGCCAACATACTGATGTTAGCTTTACATTCCCTGAGTTACAAGCTAAATCACCTTTATTCAAAAATTGAGAAGGTCAAATGAATGGATCTCCAGAGTGGCTGAATATTAATGAAGCTATACTATAGTGGTACTCTGGGAAACTGGCTCTGCTGACCTTCAACTTCT